AGAGCTCCGATTAAATTAAAATAGCATATTGCATGATCTATTTGATGGTGACACTCCAACAGGATTTTCTCTATACCAATGGTTCGAACTCAAAACTTATAGTTAAGAGTGAAATAGTCCGACCACAACGCCTCCCTATAAATAGTGGATCGAATGTAGAAGAATCAACATGCATAAGGGTCCTTTGGACATGATTCAAACTATAATAAAATTAGTTTGATTTTTTTTAAAATTTGGAAATGTTATTTGAATTTTTCTAAATAATATATTTATTTTCGTAAACATGAAAATCTTCATAATTTGTGAAAACTATAAAAAAAATCATTCTTATAAAATCTTATCAAATGAGCAAACTATCGTTCATAAATAAGGTATCATAATATCGTAAGATGTCACATTAATAAGTCATGTATCTTCATGTTTCTTTCATAAATGATTGCTCGATCACGATTACATGTTATTACAAATTTTCAAATACACATAATTTTACAAATATTTATTGATCCAAAAATCAACAATAATAGTAACTCATTATTCTTTAATATAATTCTTCCATATGATACAAACAATGTATTCACGTTATATATGAATCTTTTATTACGAAATATAAAATGATGGGTATTTTTTTTACAAAATATAAATATATTTGTCAAGTTTACATTTTAAAGAAATCAAAATCACAATTTGAAATTTAAAATTCTAATTTTTGAAGAACTTGAGATTTAAATCATGATTTCAAATTAAAATTTTGTGCATATTTCATAAACAGACGTTGATTTTGTTGAAAACTTTGAGTTGGTTAAGGACTGTTGCCTTTGATTTAGTCAAGGACTGTTGCATGAAGTCCTATTTTCTAGAATTGTTAGATGTTTCTGATTTTATCTTTATCTTAACTACTTAGTATTATTGTTGGCCTTAGGGGTGTTCAAGGTTCGTATAAAAACCGATCCAAACCGAAAAACTGAACCAAACCGATTAAATAAACCAATTTTTATTTGGGTTAGGTGTGGTTTGGTTTTAGATTTTTAAAAACCGATAGTATATGGGTTGGTTATAGTTTTGTTCGAAAAAAATCGAAGAAATAACCGAACCGAACCGATAAATTATATACATATATTTTATTAATATACATACATAATATATTATTTTTATAAATAATTTTAAAGATCTCATATGTATTTTCATCAAAATTTATTTATAATTTACTTATCAAAGAAAAATGTCCAAGGTGAGAATATTTATCTTATTGATTTTATGTATCTGAGTGTGTCTATGACAATTCTTTATAAGATTGAAATTATCAATTTCTCTTTCTTCTAGGCCAAAATAATGAATTTTGAAGATTTATTCATAGTAAATTCAATGATTGAAAGTTCTGTAATGTCAGTCATTCTAACTATTTTCGTTTCAAATGGATTGTTGTCACTTTTTTTCACCTTTTGAATGAATTGTTTCTTTTATTTTTGTCTATGGTTAATAACCGAATAACCAAACCAAACCGAACCAAAACCGATAACAACCAAATCGATAAATATATACTATATTTGGTTTGGTTTGGTTTTGATAATTTTAAAACCGATTAAGTTGATTTGATTTTGGTTTTGACCAATAACCGATTCAAACCGACCCGTGAACACCCCTAGTTGGCCTAGTATTTCTATGTTTTGTTAAGTGAACGGCTATATTAAGCCAAGAGCAACCTCAATAAAATGATCACTTAAAATTCCAATTGTTGGTGTTTCTCTTTTCAGCTATCTTTGTTGTATAACCTTTCAATTGGTATCAAAGCCCCCACTGGGTTCGTAGAAAAGAAGTAGCAATCTTCGAGTAATCAGAAAAACTGAGAGAGAATGAGCGAGGACAAGACTCTCACAAAGATCCCTCACTTTGATGGTCAGTATGACCACTGGAGTGAACTGATGGAAAATCTGCTTAGGGCAAAAGGTCTATGGAGATTGGTGGAGATTGGTTTAAAGAGCCAAGAGAAGGGACGAGGTAATTGAAACACAACAGGCACAACTCGACGATACTAGAATCAAGGATCACCAAGTCAAGCATTATTTGTTTCAAGCAATTGATCGAACTATTTTTGAACAAATCTTGGATCGTCACACAGCCAAGATCGTTTAGGACTCAATGAAGCAGAAATTTGGAGGAAATTTGAAGGTGAAGAAATATCTTCTTAACTCTTAAAGAAGAGAGTTTGAGGTTTTAACAATGAAGAGGAATGAAACCATCACTGAGTATTTCGCAAGAGTGATGATGGTCTCAAATAAGATGAGAAGTAATGGACAAGATATGCCTGACAGGAAAATGGTTGAAATTTTTTTACGAACTCTAACTGACAAGTTCACATATGTTGTAGTATCCATCGAAGGATCAAAAGATACTGACAACATGTCTATCGATGAATTACAGAGTTCGTTAGTGGTGCATGAACAAAAATTCCATCGACCAAGCAATGATGATGAGGATCAAGTTCTCAAAGTAGAAGGCCATTCAGGAACAACCAACAAAGGGAGAGCACCCTACCGGGGAAGGGGACATTGAAGAGGAAGAACAACTTTCAACAAAGCGACTGTTGAACGTTACAAATGTCATGACTTGGGACATTTTTAGTACGAATGTTCAAAGTTGTATAAGGAAGCAAATTACGTAGAATTGGAAGAAGAAGATGAGATGTTGTTAATGGCCTATACAGAACTACATAAAGCCAAGAGGAGCGATGCATGATTCTTGGATTCTGGATGTTCAAATCACATGTGTGAAAATCAGGATTTGTTTTCAAGCTTAGACACAACTTTCTCTCACACTGCCAAGCTTGGAAATAATACAAGAATGAGGGTCACTGGAAAGGGGACTGTGAAATTATTCCTACAGGGAGTTTATTATTCCATTGGTAATGAGTATTGGGTTCCTGAGCTTACAAATAATCTCTTGAGCATTGGGCAGCTTCAAGAAAAAGGATTAGTTGTGTTATTTAAAGATGGTGCGTGCAATGTTCATCATCCACAAAGAGGAAAGATGGCAGAATCCATTACGAGTGCAAATCGAATGTTTATTTTGCTTGTTGAGCCCTCATCCACAAATATTGAGGCAAGATGTCTCCAAATCAACAATACAGATTAGTCAACTCTTTGGCACTATCATTATGGCCATCTTAGTTACAAAGTCTTGCGCATTTTGAAATACAAAAATATGGTGAAGGGTTTGCCACAAATTGTAGCACTAAGTGCCACTTGCGAGGCATGCATGAAAGGCAAGCAACATTGGACTCCAATTTGTAAAAGGAGTCAGTGGAGAGCAACTGGAAGATTGGGTCTAGTTCATGTGGATCTTTGTGGTCCTATTACTCCAACATCAAGCAGCCAGAAGAGGTACTTATTGTGTTTTATAGATGATTTTTCCAGGAAAGCATGGACTTATTTTCTTTTGGAAAAATCAGAAACATTTATTACTTTAAATGTTTCAAAGCACTAGTGGAAAAGGAAATTGGGATGCCCATTAAATGCTTAAGAACAGATAGAAGAGGAGAATTCAATTATGCAGAATTCAATGATTTTTCCAAACAACATGGAGTGAAGAGACAATTGACCACAACCTATACTCCACAGCAAAACGGAGTAGCTGAGCGCAAGAACCGTACAGTAATGAACTTGGTGAGAGCTATGTTGACAGAAAAGAAAGTGCCTAAGATTTTTTGGCCTGAGGCAGTTAGGTGGACGATTCATGTCTTAAATCGATCACCTACTCTAGCTGTAAAAGATATGACCCTAGAAGAGGCATGGAGCGGAGAGAAGCCATCAGTTGATTATTTCGAGTGTTTAGATGTGTGGGACATGTTCACATTCCAGATGCTAGGAGAATCAAACTTGAAGAAAAAAGTGTGAGTTGTGTTCTGTTTGGGGTTAGTGGTGAATCCAAAGGGTACATAATGTTTGATCCAGTTGCCAAAAGAATTATAGTTAGTCGTGATGTAATTTTTTAAGAAGATCGTATGTGGGACTGGAATGCAATTTCTGAAGAAGAACAACTAACTGAATTAGATTGGGGAGACAACATTAAAGAAGAGAACGCACCTCAAGAAGGAGAAGTCAAAGAAGTCGACATTAATTCACCAACTGGAAATAATTCGTCAGTTGTTGCACCAAACGTGATAGTAAGGGAAAGCAGAAATCAACGTCCACATGTGTGGTCGGCAGATTATACTTCCGACGAAGGTTTGTCGAAAGAAGATGAAGCAAACATGGCCCTGTTGATGATATCAGATCCTACAAGCCTTGAGGAAGTTGTCAAAAGTCCACAATGGAAACTGGCCATGGATGAAGAAATCAAATCCATTGAAATAAATCAAACCTGGCGCTTGATGGAACTACCTGTTGATGCAAAGAAAATAGGAGTAAAATGGGTTTATAAAACCAAGCTAAACGAGCTTGATGAAGTTGACAAATACAAAGTAAGATTGGTGGTTAAAGGCTATGCTCAGGAACATGGGATTGATTATACTGAAGTTTTTGCACCTGTGGCTAGAATGCATACAGTAAGAATGATCATAGCTTTTGCGGCTCAAAGGGGTTGGAAGTTGTATCAATTAGATGTCAAATCAGCTTTCCTATATGGGGAGTTGAAGGAAGATGTTTTGTAGAACAACCAAAAGGTTATGAGAAAAAGGGAAGTGAGCAGCTTATGTATAAGTTACAAAAAACACTTTATGGACTAAACCAGGCACCTAGGGCTTGGTTTAGTCGAATAAAGTCTTATTTCATCAAGGAAGGTTTCGAAAGCAGTTCCAGTGAGTAAACACTCTTTGTTAAAAGAAAGGGAGGTAAAATTCTCACTGTGAGTATTTATGTTCGTGATCTTTTGTTTACTGGTGATGATGAAGAGTTGTTGGGTGAATTTAAATGTTCCATGAAAAAGGAGTTTGATATGACAGACTTAGGTCAGATGAGATTCTTTCTTGGAATTGAGGTGATGCAAAGATCTGATGGTGTTTTCATATGCCAAAGGAAGTATTCAACGGAAGTTTTAACCAATTTGGAATAGAAAATTACAATCCAGTTTGTAATCCTATTGTTCTAGGACAAAAGATTAGAAGAGATGAAGATGGCATAAAAGTGGATGCAACTCAATACAAGCATATAGTGGGAATTCGGATGTATCTCACAGCCACTCGTCCTGATCTCATGATTGTTGTAAGTCTTATTAGTCGTTTCATGGCGTGTCCAACACAACTACATTTTGCAGCAGCAAAAAGGGTACTAAGGTACTTAAAAGGTACGGTGAACTATGGTGTGTTTTATAAAAGGGGAGCAGCTAGTGAGCTGGTTGGATTCACTGATAGTGACTATGCTAGTGACATGGAAGATAGCAAGAGTACTTCAGGCTATGTGTTTATGATGAGTGGAGGAGTAGTAGCTTGGTCATCCCGAAAGCAACCTATCGTCACCTTGTCAACTACAGAGGTTGAGTTTGTTGCAGCCGCTGCATGTGCTTGTCAAGCTATTTGGATGAGGAGGATTCTAAAAGAAATTGGTTATGTGCAGGCGGCTTGTACAAAGCTAATGTGTAATAATGCCTCAACTATTAAGTTGTCAAAGTCGTTCTAAGCACATAAGAATAAGATTTCATTTCCTAAGGGATCTTGCTAGAGAAGGAGTCGTTAATTTTCTGTTTTGCGGCACTCAAGATCAACTTGCAGACCTGCTGACAAAACCTCTCAAAGTGGAAGCATTTCAGAAACTGCGTGAAGAGTTTGACATGTGCACCGATTCAGATTTGAACTGATTCTTGACAACAGGAATAAGTACAAGGGAGGGAATGTTGAAAACTTTGAGTTGGTTAAGGATTGTTGCCTTTGATTTAGTCAAGGATTGTTGCATGAAGTCCTATTTTCTAGGATTGTTAGATGTTTCTGATTTTATCTTTATCTTAACTACTTAGTATTATTGTTGGCCTAGTATTTCTCTGTTTTGTTAAGTGAACGGCTATATTAAGCCAAGAGCAACCTCAATAAAATGATCACTTAAAATTCCAATTGTTGGTGTTTCTCTTTTCATCTATCTTTGTTGTATAACCTTTCAGATTTTAAATTAAATCTTGAAATTGGAATCTCAACTCTTAAATCTTATTAAGTTCGTATTATCTATATAAACCTTTTGTTTCTAACTACTTTTTACTAGGTTTATTTTATTTAGTTTTTTTTGGTAAAGGAGGAGAGTTTTTAATTACTCGATTTGTTTTAAGTTATTTGTCCTATTTGTTACAATCTTTTTTTTTGGGGTAATTTTCTAATTTTATCTTTATGCATGACATGTTTAAAATCACAAGATTAAATGATATTTTGATATATTTTATATATTTTTAATTTAAAATCACAAAATTTAAAAGTCTTTTCTATTTTCTTGAACTCTATGTCAAGTTAAAATAGAATAATCAAATTAAAATGGAGGGAATATAAATTAAAAGTAATGTGAAATAGTCAAAAGATTTGAAGATAGCTTGTGGGAATTATAGTGGCTAGCTAGCCTACAATGAGTAAAAGATGAATAGAATAGTGAAAACTGATGCCCAAAGTTAGCAAATTTTGTTGATTGATTGATACACAAAACTCATACATGCACATATAGAAACTTTTGAGCAAGCCAGTTTAAATTTGACTTATATTAAAATATTTAAATATTTTTATACGTAGTATATTTGAATAAGATAAAAAAAATTAAGCTTTTTTTAAAACTAAAATAATAAAAATAAGTCATAAGTTAGAATTTTGGCTTATGCTTATAAATGTTAGAAATGCACAAATACTCTATTTTGGGGTTGTATTTAACTTGTGTCAGTTTTGTGTTTTCTTTAAAAAAAATAAAAAATTACCGGTTTTGGAAACAATTCAGATATACACAACTGGGGTTAAAACATTGTGTTTGATTCCTTCATGTAAAAATTATCTTAAATCCCAGTTGTGTGTCTGAATGTGTTTTGTTAAAAAAAAAGTTGTTCCTCAAATTTCAACAGTTTAACATCCAAATCTACTTTAAATAAGCTTAAATTGAACCATAAGTTTCAAATATCATAAATCACAAACTTCAATCGTTAATTTGTCAAAACAATAATAAATGTAATAAACTTATTTGACACCTTTTAAAAAATTTCATATATGCATGATTCTAATTATACATGACAGAAACACATGTTAGAATTGATTAAGATTTCAATCCTGTGTCTGTGAATTTTTTTCATGTATGCCTGGAAATCGGTCGTACATGATTGGAACAAGTTTAAAATTAGCTAAATTTCCAATTATGCGTGCTAAATGTTTTGTGAAAAAAATAATACTTTCGTGCTTTAAATTTTAACACTCAGATCTACTTTAATTAAACTTAAATTTAAAACAAAAATTTCATGTTTCATAAAGAAAAAGTCTCAAACGTTATTTTTTATTTTATAAGTCATAAATTATAAGTCCATCCAAATAAACTTCAAATAAAGTGAAAGTAATGAGCTTAATTTTCTGTTTTTAGATGGAGAAAAAATTAGGGAGAGATATTGAGGTCAGTATAATGCCACGGACTATATTGAATTTAATTTCTCTCTTAATTTGCTTGCACTCCCTAACAAAAGCGGACGATTTCCTATTAGGGGACTCGAACCTAAGACTTGTGGTTAAGAGTTAAGACTGAAAAAGTACTTATCACTCCACCACAGTTCTTATTGATCACAAATTTTATTACTCCCTTTGTCCCAATTTATGTGATATATTTAATTTTTCGAGAATCAAACAGTCTAAGTTTGACCGAGAATTTGATCATGGAATTTTCAAATTTTTTAAAATGAAATTTATATATTTGTAAACTACGTAAAAAGTATTACAAGTCACAATAATTGACAATTCAAAATATTTTAAAATATATGAAAAATTTATAATCAAAGATAAACTTGTTTGAATCTCGAAATCTGAAATGTGTCACATAAATTGGGACAGAAGAAGTATTATATTATTCGAAAGGTGTTTTGTGGGAGTAGAATACAATTTGTGAAGGCAGTGTTTTGAAGCCCTACAAAGATCCTTCCCACACTGTAATTGTAAGTCAAAAGAAGTCCATGTCCATGTGTTGGCACAAATGCCAAGAACCGTCTTTTGATTAATCTCATTGTCAAACATACTGTTATTTCACCTGCATTGCCAACCCAACCCCTCAATGCACAAAAGTCATAAATCTGTGTCAACCAACATATTGATCTTGACTTGCTGTGTGAACTCAAACCACAGCATGCTCTGCTATCATATTATATTAAGGGGGAAAGGAAAAACAGAAACACAGGAGACAGTGAAAGGTCAAACAATTTGTCTGTTAGCCTTCAAATGAGAATCAACTGCCATACATTATTATTTTACTTACTTACTGCATAAGGATTATATATATTAAGTAGGCCTTGGTGCAATAAAACGTTATTAGTATCAATTTACATAGAGATGAAACATGCTGAGCATAGTCTGAAACTATTACTAATACTTTTGCATATTATGCCATTCATCAATGTACCTCTATATTTATAAAAAATGATGACTTTGGTCAATTTGAAACACCAGACTGCCAGAGAATATTCAGCAGGAATCAATTAATAATAAAAGCTGCACTTACAACATTTCTAGCCAAGAACAATCACCAGACAACCACACATAGCAAGAATCAGACCCTAGCAATGCGGAGATAATATCTCTTGGTCACTCAACTATGAACTATTTTCTCAGAAAGTCACTCAACTATGAACTATTTTCTTAGAAAGTCACTCAACTTTAGTTTTTAACTCAAAAATCACTCTTTTCACAGTTATTTTGGTATATTTTTTTTGTTAAAAAGTTGCAACTAGATTATTCTTTTGACTTTTTCATATTATATTAAATCAAGATTAGAACATCAATTAGTACTCAGTGTAATAAAATGGCCACTGGCCAAAAATTGCTTTAAGAAAAACAATTAGTACTCAGTGGTAAACAAATTATTAACGAGTAAAGGGAACTAAGAATAAGAACTAAAATATTCCTCTATGGTTCTTTTTAATTATTGTTTTAAATTATGTTACTGGTCACATTTTACGTTTAATTATTGTATTTGAAGAGTAAAAGTATTTTACGACTCATTTCTATACATTTTTGCAGGAAGCTAACGTATGAGTATACAGACATGAGACAACAGATTGGCTTCTAAAGTTGAAGGAAAATTGTTTACTTTATTTTATGGTTTGCTGTTGAAATTTTTTGACCTGTTACCTGCCCTGTCCTATAAAATTATTTCACAGATTGAGTTTTACCCTAACCTACCCAACCCTGCCCTATTTAAGTATTCCCCTGCCCTACCCCATTAAGGTTTTTCCCTGCCCCGTCCTATTGTCATCCCGACTCCCATCCCTGTTTCGTTGTCTGACATGGGGCACATAGGCTTGAGCCTTGAGGAGAGCTGTCATGACTGGGAAATGGGCACCTTTATGGGTTGGCAAAATCAATCTCAATCCGCCTAACCCGTTTAAGTTTGGGCCGATGATAAGCTCAATCCATTTCAATCCACTCAAAATTGATTCATGAGAAATATTGTCAAAATATTTAAAAAAAACTTTTTGTTTAATTTGATATGTTATATGTAGCCATAATAAAGAAAAAATATTTTTATTACGTACTAAAATATTTTAAAAGAGTAAATAAAACAATTAAACTTCATAAAAATTGGTTTGAGTTAGGATCTTGGCCCATTACCTGACCCAAGTGAATTTGGGTTGGGTAAGGCCTTGACCCATTTGTTGTCTTGACACTGGTCCAAATTTCACTCAACCCACCTAATTGTCACCCCTATCTTTGTCCTTTGCAGAACAGGAAGGGGAAACTATAATGGTCATTTACCATCTTATCTATTGTCCCTTTGATTTACCATCTGATGTCCAAAACCCATTAGGCCGAGTCGTTTACATTCGCATCATAGAAAACCTGCTAGAGGGGTTTCAAGCACTCCCCGTAAAGGAGAACCCCATTCCAGAGTCAAATTCGAGAACTCTGATTTAAGATCTCTGATTAGGAAACAAAAACCTTTGTGATTCCACCTCATCCTTGGTTCTTACAGTCAAATTTGCTACAACCTTTTGGTAGAAACTCATACAAAAAGGTCAAAAACATTGAAAACTTAATGAATATATCTCTTGGCAGGTAGAGGTGGATTAAGGATTTTTAGTACGTGTGTGCACTACTAAAAGAAGAGGAAAATGTATCAAGTGAGAATTGATCCCTATTCCTCTTGGTATAACTCAACCTTCAACCAAACACTATTCAACCTTCTTGGAGCATGAGTGTCAATAGTTAATATTATACCAATTTCAAAAAATATATATATTAACCAACTAATTTTACGGAGAGACCATGGTTTCACGTTCCCCATAGTCTCCTCTATAAATTTGCCCCCGTTGGTAGGATTGTTATGTATGAAGCATGTTTAACTATGGATAATCTCCAAATGAATTATAACTTCAAGTAGATATTACCTATGGTGAACATTTAACTGAGATAATAAAGTCAGACAAACTGGAGCTATTCATTCATCTCTTTGGAGTACAATGACCAGAGACAAGCCCCCTAAGGAAACAATATAACATGGTGATACCACAATTTGACAATCTTTGCAAACAATTGTATCATTATACTTTTTTTTTAGACAGATTGTATTATTATACTTTTGCTCCTAACCATCTAGTAAATACACACTCACCAATAAACATTTGCTTTCTTACAAAATTGCTACAAGCCCAACAACTGATGGTCTGAATAATAATCCAGGATCCTGCTAGAGGAGTGTGCAAAGCTTACCTAAAACGATGAACAAAGATCTAACTCGTACTCTTTGCAGCAAAAGTGAGTACCACGTACATAGATTTTTATAATGATTCTTTTGGACTGGCAGCTTGTCGAAACTTGCGTTGATGCACATCCCAGTTGTATACTCGGGCAATCGTGACCTGAGACACAGCAGCTTAAACAATAAGCAAAATGTAAAAGATAGCAACAACCTGGTGGCTGAAATTATGCAGATGTGAAAAATAAACAAAAGAAACAACAAGATAGTGCTCTTTCAACTCTCTCAAGATGGAATCTATTCCAAACATATATGCCATGGTTCCTTACTTTGACAGGATACAAATATCTAAATTTGATACTTTTAGATATTTTTTTCAGACCTATTGCCAATACAAAGAAGAAGTCAAAATTTTGTATCCATTTTTCGTGATACTACACGTTCTGCGTATGTTACCTATATTAATGATTATACAACTTTAAAGAACTTTCTGTAAATAACCAAAACTCAGCTTCCAAGGAGATGCGAAGCTGTCGAAATTTTACAAACATTCAAAAGTATAGGGGCCTTCTATCCAAAAAACATACAAGCTTATACATCGCCAATTAAATCTACTAATTCTCCTATTTCCCCCCCACATATTTTGTTTACACCAATAAAGAACAAACTAAGGCAAATCAACCTAATTTTCTAGATGGAATTACTAGTGTCATCGAAATGTCTAGAGTTCCTCTCTTTCCAAACTGTCCAGCAAATGCAAGCAGGAATTACCTGCCACCACTCCTCTTCGGTGCTGCAAACCAATCATCCAAATAACTTCAGTTACAGTAGTGGCTATACTTCTTGATAAGAATCGGGTCACCAGAATAAACAAGAAAATAATGTGGAAGCGAAATTATAAAGATTATAGACAAAATTGAAAGATACGCGAAATTCAAGAATAAAATCCTCAATTTCAAGATAAAGTGCTAAGAACCCTAATTAATCTTAGTATTCAAAATTAGTGGATTAAGACTAATTATGATACTAATAGAGTCAATTCAAGAACTTAGATCAAAAGTGATCTAGACCCCTATTACGAAGAAATTAGAGACAACAATTACTATACGACTAATCACCTTCTTTAATTTACGAATAGAAACCAAAGATATCAAATTAAGAATTAATCTTAATTCTTAAAGAATCGTTCTTATAAGGTTGTAAGATAAATCCATAGTCACCACATACAAAGGTGTAAAGAAGAGAAACCTCTCAAATAATATTAATCATGTCTGTCTCAAAATAATAAAATCAACCCATATATATAGGGAAAACCTATCCCAAATAAAATAGGACTATTTTTATGGAAACTTTAAACTAGGTAACTTTTAAACTAGAAAAGCAGGAAAACTTTAAACTAGGAAACTTTTTAAACTAGGAAAACTTTAAACTACGAAACTTTTTAAAATAGAAACTTTTGACTTTAAATGTTCAGCTTTTTGGACTCTTTTATTGGGCTTCGTGTGGCCCAATCTTCTTTCTTTTGGGCTTGAATTTGGACACCTCTTTCGTGATAAACATATTCTTGATTTTGTATTGATGCCCGTCGACTTTAGAACAAGTAGGCTGACATGGATGCTATCACTGCTTCTCCCCACATTCTTCCAGCTTCGCAGAAGCTCCAACGTAGACTTGGGCATGATCCATTTTACCCTCAGTATACTAAAGAACATGTGCCACAAATTTATAGTTGTCTTGCAATGAAGGAAAAGGTGCTCATTACTCTTACCTTTGTGTCCACATAATAGAGACATCTTGAACAAATCTGAAGACTTCTTTTTTGTAACTTATCTTGAGTTAGGCATACTTTCCTTCATCACCAACCAAACAAAAGATGATACCTTTGGTAGACCCTTGACTTTCCAAATAAGCTTCCAGGGCCAAGACACATTTTGATGACTTGTGTGGTTCATGTTGTAGTAGACAGACTAGACTAAAAATTCTTCTTTCCTGTCCAACCTCCATTTAAGTTGGTCTATGTTCTCAGTAATTCCTCAAAAAGTATCCACGAGCTGAAGCATTGAGGTAAGACTTTCAAATTCCCAGTCACTGAAAGCTCTTCTGAAAGTTAAGTCCCAACCTTGTACACTTCAGACTTGATCTATCTTAGCATGTTTTTGGAGACTTAATATATATAGAACAGGGGCGGTGGACTATAAACTGGGACCACCAATCCATTGATCCTCCCGAAATTCAGTCTTACTTTCATTACCCACTGTGATCTCTACTTTGTCCCAGAAAACTCGCCACTGATTGCCAAGGGTTATCCAGACACCACAACCATAAGGGCTTCTGACTTCTTTTGTAATCCATTGGTTTTCCATTCCATATTTCTGTGAGATGAAATTTCTACATAGTGCTAAAACCTCCATGCTGAACCTCCATAGCCATATTTGTAGAAGACTTCTTGTGCAGCCACAGATTCTTGATGCCCATACCATCTTGCTTCTTGCGTAAGGTTAGTGCTTCTCAGTTAACCAGGTTGATGCTTCTGTTCACTTTGTTGCCTTGCCAAAAGCATCCAACACTGAGTCAATAAGTGTAGGTCTTCCTCCTAAGGATAAATATTGGGTTTTCCACCTTGCCAGTTTTCTATCACATCTCTCAATAACCTCATTCCATATCTCTATTGACTTATTTTTAGCCCCCATGACATCCCCAAATATTTAGTTGGGAAAGTCCCCATCTGGCATCCTAGGTTTCTTGAAAGAAGTTGCAAATTTGTTACTTGATTGACTGGAAACAAGGAACTTCTGTTCAAATTAACATGAAAGCCAGAAACAGATTAAAAATAGATAGGATTTCCTTGAGATGCCTCATCTGCTCCACTACAGCTTCACAAAAAACAAGAGAATCATCGGCATATAGTAAGTGAGAGATTTCACATCCATCCCCAGCATTTGTTTGGGATCCACAAAGTCTCTGAACCATTCATTTTCATTCGTTGTCCTGATCATATGATTAATACCCTCCATAGCCAGCAAAATTAGGAAAGGAGACATATGATCCTTGGTTGTAGGGTCGATTGATGAACTCATGTTATGTATTTATTCATACATATTCATACTTATTGTTGCATGATAAGTAAAGGCTAATATTGCCCATTGAGCTATTTGTGAAATTTATTCATATTATGCAACTAGGAGATATTTCCGGCAAGTGACATTGTGCAAAGTCGATAGAAAATGATTCCGACGAGTGCTATTATGCAGATGGGAAATTGTACCGGTGAGTGTTATTGTGTTGATGAGAAATGGTTTCGACAGGGTATATAGACCGCATAAGTCCCATGGATCTCGACTGTCCAAAATGAGGAAGTGGGTGTATACATGTTTTTGGTTAATGCATTGTATTTCATTTGCATTCATAAGGATTTGGTGTTGAGATGGTTGTGGTCCGATTTGACTTTGATGCATCTGAGGCACATTGAGAAGTACTAAAGAAAATTTGAATAGTTTAAGTTGGGTAACATAATGGCAACGTTGGTATAGCATTCGTTTGATATTGAAAGGCTATGTTGGGTACTAGACAACAAGAACATTTAAAGTGGCGGTCAATGGTAGATATTGACGAATTTAAGTTATAAGATGTTTGGAGATTGAATTGAGGATCTGTAATATTATTTGTAACTAAGAGGGAAGGAGGATTCTTTAATTAAAGGATTTTGGCAAGGATACTTATACAAAGCTATATGAAAACATTCATAGAGACGTGCATATAGTAGTTAAGAATAGCCCTGCATACCATGGACCAATGCAATGGTGGTTGGGACTATTACATCGGCAAATAACTAACACTATTGGAGGAACTAGGATTTTCCTAGGTATTGTTTCAGTATGCTCCCGACATGCTACAATTTTATTCGACCATGGATCTACAACCTTTTATGTATGTACCTACGTACTTTGTTTTGGATTTGGATATGCTTTGTCAATCTCCCCATGTTTGTACATGATTCTACACCCATAGATGGTTCTTAGTGTTGGATCGATTACATCAATCTTGTATGGTTGACTAGGATGTACATGACACGTGGGTAGACTTAATTATATTGGATAAGGTAGATATCGACATCATATTGGGTATTGATTGGTTTTCTCCCTATCATGCAGTTCTAGATCATTACGCCAAGACAATGACCTTAGATATGTGGGATATTCTTAAACTGAAGTGGCAGAGCAATCTCAGTCTAAGTTGCTCGGACTCGGGTATGAGTGACCGATACGGGTGTGGATCTAGAGGTCGGATCCTCCATTATCTATTTTTTAAGATTTGGGGATATGGATCCATGTATGGATACAAGTGCGGGGATTCGCCTAATAATAATTAAAATATATAAAAATAGAGTTATAAAACCTAAATTATGAGATATTATGTGGAGAACATGAGGAGAATCCTGGAAGGAGATTAAAGGAAAAGGAGCGACATAGAAATTTCTATATAAAAGATATTCCATTTTCTTCAATTTCACCTTAGCTTTTGTATTGATTACAGAAATCATTAAAACCGTCCAAACTTTCCCCATCGATTTTGGTCAAAGTACCCAAAATCGATTGACATCGGACACGAATCCCACACCCATGTCGTGTCGACACGGATGTGGCACAAAAAACAAAGAGTCCGAGCAACTTAGCTCTCACTCCCTATCCAAGGAAGGTAATATTGTTTCTAAAGGCTCAACACATGGTTAAAAGGGATATCTCGCCTATTTGACTTATATTCATTATACTAGTATAGATACTCTTCTTTTATAAAATTACCAATGGCGAAAGAGTTTCTAAAAGTTGGTCCACCTAATCCATAACAATTTTGAATTGTAAATTTTCAGTTTTACTTCTAGATATAAGAAGAATTGTAGTGTGCTGTGATATTTTCATATTTAATATATTTCACTTGTTCAAGAATTTCCTCGTAATTAAGAAATCTAACTACACCTTGGGTCTATTATCTACGGAGATGAACAGATGGATGAGAATGTCAAATAAGGGAACTATTCATATAAGGAAATAAAATATACATTTCATTTGTTTGTTTATGTAAAGTATATTTTTTTGTTAATTGTTGGAATTTTTTATAAAAAAAAAAGGGTCAACAATAGCTAGAAAATTGGTATTTGGTTAGTAT